TCCCCAGTCTCCCCTCAGAGCTAGTCACACTGTTGGGTAAAGGTTAACACACTTTGTTGCTTTTTCAGACGAAGAACTTGGACTTCCGCCGAAAGTGGGACAAAGATGAATATGAGAAACTTGCAGAGAAGCGCCTCACAGAGGAGAGAGAAAAGAAAGATGGTGCGTAGTGTACTGACTGCAGGCGAGCTTTGCAGTGAGTCACCCAAACCCTTTGAGTTTGAGAGAAGCTAGAAGTGAAATCTAAAGAGCAGCAATTCAAGGCTGGCTTGCTCTGATTCTTTTTCCTGTGCTTGCCACTGATTTTTTCTTTTTTTTTTTTTGACAAAAGTAGTTACTGAGTACCTCTGCCTGCCTGTTCTTAGAGGGAGGAAGGAACTGTCAGCCCCTGGGAACAAGATCTCAGAGTATGACCCGTGTCAGAGCTGGAGATACCTCACACATCTACCTGGTTCTAATACAAACCAGGAAATAGTGGGGAGGAAATGGTATACCTGTTACTGACTTTAAACAAAAAGGTGCAATTTCTGTGTGGATCCCAGGTTCCCGGGAGGCTTCTCTTCATCAAGGGAAACTCCTCATGTCGAGCTTGACCTTTTCTGATAAACACTTTGTGGTTTTGCTCATGTTTTAGGCAAACCAGCTCAGCCCGTCAAAAGGGAGCTTCTGCGGCACCGGGACTACAAAGTGGACCTGGAATCGAAGCTGGGGAAGACCATTGTCATCACCAAAACTACCCCTCAGTCGGAGATGGGAGGGTAGGTCCTGGGTCCTTTTTGGTGAGAGTCTCAGAGTTGCACTGACGAGGCTGGGGGCCTGTGATGCGGCGGTGAGCCCTTACGGTGCCCTGGGTGGGCATTTCCTCCTGTGTTTAGAGCCTGGTGTGATGGCGCTGCCCTGTGTTACACCAGAACACCTTTTTGTGTCTGCAAAGGGCAGCAAAGCTGATGAAGGGTGTGGAGAACACGTCTGATGAGTAGCAGCTGAGGGAACTGAGGTGGTTCAGTCTGGAGAAGAGAAGGCTGAGGGGAGACCTTATTGCTCTCTACAGCTGCCTGAAAGGAGGTTGTAGCAAGGTGGGGTCAGTCTCTTCTCCCAAGTAACAGTCGATAGGACAAGAGGAAATGGTCTCAAGTTGCAGCAGGGGAGGTTTAGATGGGACATTAGGGAACTTGTTTTCACTGAGGGGGTTGTCAAGCACTGGAACAGGCTGCCCAGGGTGGAGTCACCGTCCCTGGAGGTCTTTAACAAATCTGTAGCTGAGGTGCTCAGGGACATGGTTTAGTGATGGACCTGGCCTTGCTGGGTTAAGGGTTCGGCTCAATGATCTTAAAGGTCTCTTCTAACTAAAACGATTCTATGAAATGGTCAGCGATGGTCTGGGGTACATATGGAAGAGATGCAGTGGGATGAGCGCCCTCTGACGTTATCACTTGATACTGGTGTTTCTTCACTGTATCTCTGCTGCCGGCCTGCATTTAGTTAGCCAGGAGACCTGCTTGCACTGAGACCTGGCCAGTGTCCAGGGCTGGAAGCACGGGCCCTGGCTGAGCTTTTGTGACAGCTCTTAAGTCGGACAGAAAGCCCTTCTGGATAAACAGGGAGTTGGTGCCACGAGGTGGTAGGGATGGGAGGACTTGCCTTGCAGCCCGGTGAGCCTGTGGCCCACTGTGGTCCAGGAACGCGGGATGCATGGTCAGCCCTGCCTTGGAGGAGGGCAGCCGAGCCCTGCGGCATTGCAGAGCCTATCCTGCCCTGTTGGTTTTGGATGAAAGGGGAAAATGCAGATTTCATATTGTAGATTCTCTCAAATAGTTGTTCGGTGAGGTTCGTCTCATGCTTTGGAGTTAATTTTTTCACTCTGTCTCCTGCCAGATATTACTGTAATGTGTGCGACTGTGTGGTGAAAGATTCTATTAACTTCTTGGATCACATCAATGGCAAAAAACGTAAGTATCATTTTTCTGTGTTGTTGGGGGAGTTGGGAGAGCTGCTGCAGGGGCTGTTCCCCTTGTGCATCGGGAGCATCTGAGGGCTGAACACTGGATCAAAGTGTGCTTTGGGGATCAGGACTGAGGCAGTGTTTGCTCATAAGAGCTGTGGAGGTGCTGCCTTCATCTCCTGGCACCTTTCAGGGTGGAATATGGCCAGAAGAAGTAGCGATGGATTTACTCTGGTGGCCGTATTTTTCCCACTTGGAGTGTCCATGATGCTGGAAGTCCAGGGTCAAGAAATCCTCATGTCTCCTGTGCAAATCGAGAGAGAAGCTTTTTTACAGCACCAGAACTTGGAAGAAATTCTTAGATAAGTAAAAGGTGAAGGACTAGCCCATTTTTGGTTCGTAAGCTTCTCTTTGTAGAAGCTGACAGTCTAAAGCAGCTGGTCCCTGAGCTCCAGGGCAGGGAGTTCACAAGGATGGAGGCTGTGGTTTGCTGAGGATGAGTAGAGACAGAAGCGGGGAAGATTGGCCCTGGAGTCGAGTCCAGCAGTGTGGTGGTGTTACTGTCTTGTTCCTATCTCTGGTTCTTCATTGCTGTAATGATGCGGTTAACTTGGGCCAAGATAATGACAAGAGAAAAGGATTCCCAGCTGATTGATCTGTTCCCTTACTGTGTTGAACCTCAAAAAGGGGACTGTATGAACTCTTAGTTCATGCCTCTGGGCTTTGCTTCTCCTTGACATGTTCAGAGAGTGGGGAAAGTGGAGAAAGCAAAGGAGCAGCAGGATGCACTGGCGTGCTCTTGCCGTGTCGTTCTGCTCCTGAAGGTGATTTTGGCTCCCTGTGGAAGTCAATAAAAAGACAGCAATGAGTGGGATTCAGACCTGCACCCTGGGCTCTTTGAACCTTTGAGGAATGGGGGGGTCGAGGAGGACCTGAGTTTTCTCTAGGTGGGAGAAGAAAACCCAGCGTGTGACTAGGAAGAGGACGCCAAAGTGCCTTGTTTCACATGTTGAGACATTCGCAGTAAGTCCATGTGAGAGAATCGAGGAATGAAAAAGCCCAGCATGGCTTTGTGCATGGGCCTGAGAGGGAGGGTTGAGCTGGGGTTGGCCAGCAGCTGATGCACAGCTCTTCTGTGCAGTCTGATTTACAGAGCGAGTTTTGGGATCCGACCCATAAATCTGGCTGAAACCTGATGATTCTTGGCAGCCCTCTTACTAGTTCCTGGTCCATAGTTCGAGCTTCCGAATGCTTCTGCATCCCTGGGACAATCCAATTTTTTTTTTTTTTTTCTACTGGCCCAAGATTAAATTTCCTGAAGCATCAGAGCACTGACATGATGGCGAGCATCCTAACAGGGAACCTTAGAAGAAAAGGGCTGCATCCTCCTTGTTGAAAGCAAGGCACAGATTTTTGTAGTCCCTACCGGGTTTAGGTCATGGTGTCCCCCTGAAGCCCATCCCTTCTGACCTAAGGAATCCTGATCTGTGTAGGAATATGGGAAAGGATGAGGACAGAAAGCACATGGGGAGAGGAGGCACTGCTGTGTCGTGCTCCCCAACCTGGCTCTGGGCTACCTTGGCTGACTCCCCTCCTGTTTTCTAGACCAGAGAAATCTGGGCATGTCCATGCGAGTGGAGCGCTCCACACTGGACCAGGTGAAGAAACGCTTTGAGGTGAACAAGAAGAAGATGGAGGAAAAGCAGAAGGATTATGACTTTGAGGAGAGAATGAAGGAACTCCGTGAGGAGGTGAGTCTGGGCAACAACTGATGACGTAAAGCCCCCCAGAAACACCTTTTGTTAGGAAATCAACCCTGGTTCTTCATCTTTTTCCACAGAAGCCTCGTTCCCAGTAACGTGGGCTTCTCATCTGCAGCTACAAGTGGGTTTTGTTTGCTGCAGCTCTCCCTGGAAACCCTTTTCCCCTCTGTTAGTGTGAGGATAACTTTTGAATGCTTCACGTTTCCACTGAGAGAAGCACAAGCCCGACAGTCCACCCGCTTTTTGTCTCCTCCTAGTTGTGTTTGAACTTGTGTGCTCTGATAAGCAGATCTGTCTTTATCCCTTATCTTATGTGGTTCTTAGGATTGCTGGGATCCTTCTCCACATGGCAGGTTGCTTCTGTGTGGCCTCCCCGATGTGCAGGGGCTTCGGGAGTGGTGATGCGAGGTGTGCGTGGAGGCAGTGAAAGAGCAGATTCCCCTCAAACATGGGATTGGGTATCAGCTCCTTCACATGAAAATCAACTTTATTTGAAAACCTGACGAAGTTCTGACAGTTGAGGAGCTTCTGTGGACACTTCTGTCAGCAGTCACATCACAACTGGATGTTAAAAATTGCTGCCCCTTTGAGTCTTCCTGCGCAAGGCCTGAGCTTTGCTTCACTCCAGGGGTGCTCTGTTGGGGTGCATGCTCTTGAGCAGGCAGCTTGGGTGCTGCCATGCCTGATGTCTTTGAGAGAGAGGGGAGACGGGTGCCCTGGCAGCGCAGGGAGTGCTGTGACTTGAAAAGCTACTTCCAGTCAACATGTGGCAACAAAGAAATCATCAGCAACTTCTGGTGTAGCTTTCTCCAGGGCACGGCTGTCTGCAGTAGTTGCGGCGCAGTGGATGGTGATGGGAATGGCAGGAGCAGTTGCTAAGTTGGGAGCTGAAGCCACGCTTCTGCATTGCCCGGTACAAGCCTGGCACCGTTCCAGGGCTTGTGATCCTCACAGAGCAGAACACTTTGATTAGAGCAGCGCAAACTCTTTGTTGGCAACCCCTGCCCCAACGCTGCTCTGAGCTTCAGCTTCTGTTCCAGTGAGCAGCTGTCGCGCTGCCAGGCTGGAAGCCAGCGGGCAGTGACATTTGATGATGTGGTCACTGGACAAGGCAAGATACGAGGGAAAGGCCTTCTGCTTTAAAAACAGCCCCTTCTTCCCTCAGTATTGATTCCAGATGAAACTTCTGATGTTTGTTCAGAAGAGAGAGTTTCACAGTGCTGCTTTTGGGCTATACCACGTGTGTGTGCGTGCGTGTGTGTGTGTGACTTCTCTTGGGGCGGTAGGTGGAGTGGTCTGGAGACGGTGGGAAACCTCCTCCTTGGAGACTGCACGCCAGGATTTCTGCTGTTTTATTTCCTCATGCACAACTTGGGTGCTGTTGGTAGGACTTGGGTTAACTGTGCAGTGCCCAGTGTCTCGAAAGCGTACTGGGCTCAGGAAGTTCAGATTATTTTGCTGTCCTGTCCCTTGTTGCAGGAGGAGAAGGCCAAAGCCTACAAGAAGGAGAAGCAGAGAGAGAAGAAAAGGCGGGCGGAGGAAGATTTGACGTTTGAAGAGGATGATGAAATGGCAGCTGTGATGGGTTTCTCGGGTTTTGGCTCAACCAAAAAGAATCACTGAGCCCCTCTGGACTCTCCTCGTTCTTGAAACAGATTGTTTTTACCCAGGGGACTCTGGATAATTCTTAAAAGACTTTATTGAGGACTTGTATGTAAATCTCCCAGTAAAAGTTGGCTGGAGGAGTCAAAAACTGATTCCATGCTCTACCTGTGCTGAGCAGAACAAGCCCCACCTGTCATTAGCTTCCCATCTCCTTCCGTGTCCTAGTTCTGGCTGCTCACCGCTGCTCTGCGGCCTTGCGTGTGGAGGGAAGTATTCTGCTGGGTACGTTTTTGTGTCAATAAAGTGCAGCAGTTCTGTACAGATGGCCTGGTTCGGGGTTAATCTAGTCGTCAAACCAGGCATCGCTGTTCCGGGCCCTAGTTTTTCTAGTTGTCAACCGGGCTGTGGTTTGAGACGCAAGGAGTGATTTCATTTCTTTTCGCATTGTGTAACTGAAGGGAACGCGTCACAGTGAGCGGTGCTGAGCCCCACGACCTGCATCTTTACGGCTCATGCTGAGCAGAGCTGGTGGCTGCGTGGAGTCTGGGGCGCTGAAACTTCCCTCTGTGTTTTATCTGCAAGGGGTGCTTCCCTGCTCTTCTTTGTGTTTCGTTCCATACCTTTGATATCTTTAAGGCAGGGGAGAAATTCCTCCTTGATCTAGGATAGAGCAAATGAAAGAAAGGTGCCTGCCGTTCGCTGGAAATAAACGGATTGTTTTAATGGGTCCTTTAGTGGGAGTTTGATTCCTTCTTTTGTTTTGAGAGCTTCTGCCTCCCACTGAGAGGAGCTGCTGATGCTTCCCGAGCTGTGCAGAGCTGGTCGTGGCCTTCTGGGGACCATAGCAGAGGCAAAGGCAAGGCTTGTGCCCCCCTCTCTCACGGCTCAGCTGCCCTGTGCAGGCAGTTTCTGTCATGCTACAAAGTAATTCAGGATATGGGTTTAAGAACATGGGAAGGGAAAGGAGGACAGGACTGGGGACCTGCATTTCCATAAGCCAATCGCAGAGCAGGCTGGGCTGCATTCTAGAATTTACCAGCCTTAGCATATTAAGGGCTGTTTTTTTCCTGTCTACTGGCTATCGGTGTCTTTTCACCTCTGCACCCCTGCCGCAATCCATTTCTGCTTCTATTTACCTCAGTCAAACCTTGTATGATTCATTTCCCTCTACGGCTAGGATTTATATTTTTCGTGGCTGGGTTTTTGTAGCTCTGTCTCGCTCTCCTCTCTCTTTTTATGTATATTGATGAAATCCTTGCTCTTGCCCTTCTCTGTACACATACGAAATTTCCGACCCGAGGAAGGCTGCGGCGTGCTTCGCCTGCTCTTTCTAATACATCTAGAACAAATCCTGTAATGTTGTGCTGCTGTTTTAATTCCTTAATCTTAGACTGCTGACAGCTTCATTGCCTCAGGTCTTTCCGCTTCAATTCAGATTATAATCCCCGTTGAAGATGCTATTGAAATGATATATAGCCAGTCAGATACAACTGTCCTTGGAGGTTTGACCCTTTTAACTTGGCAATCCTTTGACTTCGGCAAACGCTCTCGGAGCACACGAGCTGGAAAGGGCAACTTTCATTCCAGCCACGTACCCAGCGCTGTTCAGACTGCGGCACGTGGCTCTGGCTGAATGGGAGAGAGGAGATGCTTGTGCCTTTGTGCCCTCCGGGGTGCAAAAGGGATGCTTTCTTGGTTTCAGACGCATTAAAAGTTTAGGACGTTTCAGAGAAGATTTAGCAGCAGCCATTTTATCCCAAGCACCACCTCTACAAGCAACTAGACCCTTGCTGCAGCCTCAATTTGCTTTGTGCAGCTGCAGAAGGGGCAGACGCTGCCCCTGTGCCCTCTCTCTT